GGGGGGGGTGAGGGGAGGAATGTTGAAAGTAAAATAAGGTTTACGTGTCGGGGAGGGGGATGCCGCCTCTATGCACTTCCATTCGGCCGAGTATTGATAAACGACGTTTGTGGGTGCAAGTCAGTGAGACGTGCACGCATACCGTCGTAATGTGAATCGAGCTAGAGGTGTCTTTTAATACTGGTAGGGCTCAAGTTCCAAGCTTCGAGGAATCTTTTTGCTTGTCTCATGTTGGCCATGACGATCATATTGGTGCCATCCCCATTTAAGCGGTGGTCATATTTAAGGGAGTGCGCAAGTATGAGTGATAAAGGATTCCGTCGGCGAACGGCTGACTTATGTTCGTTGATGTGAGCCCTGAGACGTCAGTCTGTGTAAACAACGTAAACACAAGGAAAGCATGGTATGCGGTAAACAACGTTGCTTGGTTGGTCTTTCTGTAGGGGGTTCTTTAATCGGCACAGGGTTGCGGGTAGAGAAGATGCGGGCTTGTGGGCGACAGAAACGCTGAAGCGACTTATTAGATTGTTTCGGAACTTCCTTTCATGTAAGATAGGGAATTACATTTCAGGGGCACCATATCTCCATTGGGTGGGAGGTTTTGTCCTTCTCCCTGACTTCTGAGACAATTTTTGACAAAGCTGGTTGGATATCCATTGGACCGGAAGAACTTATATAAGTACGCTAGTTACTTCTTGAGCAAATCATCACTCCTAAAATAGTGGTAGACCCGTTGGAAAAGAGTATAAACACAGCTCCTTTTATGGACCACCGGCCATGGTTAAGGATTATTTCCGCAGTGGCGTTCTTTCGGCGGACGCTTGTAGCGAATTCGCCATCAGAGGGTCTTTGTATTCTCAAGTCCAGGAATGGGAGGGTATCCCTTGTTACCTATTCCCTAGTCAACTGTATTGCTAGGAAGACCCCGTTTAGACTCTGGTGCAGTGTTCCAACGTCGCAAATTTTTATGATAACGAATATGTCATCTACGTAGCGGAGCCACACCTTCGGTTTGAGAGTTTGTAAAGTTTTCTCTTCTAGTTCGGCAAGTAGCTCCGATATTGGCGATCCCATTGAGGCACCCTTTTCTTGTCGATATGCCATCGAACTGACAGTAGTTTTTGAGACAGAAGTCAAGCGTGTCCAAGACATGCTGTTTTGAAAAATCAACAGGATTTTTGCCTAAGCGTCGTTTTATGGTCAAGTCGTGTGCTAAAGAGTAAAACAGGGAAACAAAGTCGAACGACATGATACATTCATCAGGACTTACTTGAAAGCCTTGAATTCTCTACAGGAATATCTGTGAATGTTTGACGCTCTATTGCGACACATCACTCAGGTACTTTAGTTTCCTATATATCCATTTGGCGAGGTTGTAGGTGGAAGATCCAGTTAGTGGCACTAGCATCCTCAATGACGTATCAGCCTTGTGCACCTTTGGAAGGTCATACGCGTGTGCGATACGAGGGTCATTAAAGTTAATACATTTGGATTCCTAGGGCTAATGAGTTTAAACCGAGAAATTTCGTTCGCCCTCTTCTCTATAGTAGCGGTTTGTTTTTGGGTCCACATCGAGCGGTGTGTATGTCGCTTTGTCACTGAGGACTTGTTTTTTTTAATGACGTAGTCATTCTTATCCACGACGACAGTTGCTCCACCTTTATCAGCAGGCACGATGATTATGCTGTCATCAGTCTTCAGTGAGAACAACGCCTTTTTCTCCTCGATAGCTAGGGTTTGATGATTTTTCCTTTTCCGGAGGAGGCCTGTTGCGCAGCTGCATATGTCGTCAGGGACAGTGGAGGTCAGTAGACCAGTAGACTAAACGCTCTAGTGCGACAATCCCATTCTCCACTTTTTATTTCGTCTGAAGGGGACCGGTTTTACATGCTTGAAAAGCTAGGAGTACAACTTGATTTTCCGAAGACATTCTTTTTTTAATTATATCATTTCGGAATGCAAACCATTTCACTTACCCAACTCAGTATTTGTATCCAAAAATGACAACGTCGACCAGATACGACCTTATTTGCAAATCTTTGCATAGTCTTGTAGTAAGGGACCATTATGTCATATATCACCTGCTAGAGACAGATTAAATAGTTCATACATTTTGAATGTGTAGCTCAATTTCCGATTAAATTTCAGGTCAAGGAGGGGAAAAGAGTCGTACTTGGTTCGCAGATCCTGTCTGTATACGATGTCGACACGGAGGAGGAGAACATCAATATCCGCCTCATCCATCCACCGCGTTGGGGTCACTTGGAATTGTGCATCGAAAATGTCACTGTCAACACTTCTCAGGACAACGCGGCCTTTGCCTTCACAGCCCGAGATCTTACGGATAATCGGGTATGGTACGTGAATTCACGACACGCGAATGGCCAGGAGTCAGCTGGTGACGTCTTCTCCGTGCGGGCCTATGACGAAGTCTTTGCCTCTATCGCAACCCTGGAAATCAAGGTCATCATCCAGCCAATGAACGATGAGGTGCCCGTGGTGCGGCTTTTGAGTCACTTTTCAGTCCCAGAGGGTGGTCGCCGCATCCTCACACCTCACCTCTTCGCAGTGAGCGATCGAGACGTGCCACGAGACATCCTGCAAATCCACTTTCCTCAACTACCCACTTACGGGGTCCTGAGTGTGTACTGGCATTACGGTGAGAAGCATGTAATCACAGCTCACAGCGCACCTATTGCTGAGACCTATCTAGGCATGCTCAATCTCCTCTACGTGCAGAATGCCTCCCTGCTGCCAAAGGCGAATGTAGGAGCTGACGGCATCAGTGCTGGTTACTATCCCTCATACTCACCCTACGGACCTCATGTCCTCGCTGTAGACCAGTTCACTGTATCTGTCTCGGACGGTCTACATGAGGTCGTCAAGACGGCTCGGATCCTCATTCGTAAACCCAATGAACATAAACCTAGCGTAATCTCCGATCACAGTAGTGGCATGTTGACTCTGATGGGCACCGCATGGAAGCTGCTGAACGCTCTGCCCGGCGGCCTGCGCATTGTGGATGAGGACAGCGCCGACGAAGATGTATTGATCAGACTGACGAGAGCACCCCGTCTGGGACATCTTGAACGTCTGCCTCGGAGGATGCCTGTGGAGAGTGATGCCGCTCCGGGCCCGGAGGACCTCATTGAAGCTGCCTGGGATGCAGAAGAGGAGCAAGCAGAACGGTTGGGCATTTCGAAAATGGAGCTGAGGAATGCCGGCAGTGTAGGCGGAGGGAAGTCAGCCAAAACCCTCGAGGAGGCAGACAGTTTCACCAAACGTCAATTGGATTCAGATCGCATATAGTGAGTAAACAAGCATACATTGTATTGAACAGTCGAATCTTGAACTCTTGTTTTCCTTTTATTGCACGAATATTAGGGGAACGTTGTGGGAGAGGACTCTTTGCTTGTACAGCGTACTTGTCTATGACGATGGTTTGGGTAATCATGCCAGTAGTAGAGTTTTGCGCGAGACTACCTGTTATTCACTTCTTGCTTTCTGTTCCTGTCATTTGCTGGAGATTATCGTCATTGATCAGGCCAGTGGACTGTCGGGTAAATGACGACGGTAAGCACATCAGTAACAAACACTCCATTGCCGATGGAAGCGGATAGGCGAATTCCAGGAAGCAGTTCAGAAGTAAAGGGTGCGATCGCTGAAACAGGAAGTTTATCCAACACGAATGACGAACTTGCGGCAGTTAATGACTCCGGAGTGGACTGCTAAGGAATCATCGCACCAATTAAGACGCCGATCGCTGTTAATTATACTGTGCATGTGGTCACGTGACCGCCACGAACTATAAATACTACGTAATCTGGGCATCTATCAGCCTAATCTGAGCGTGTATTCCTCTAATCCTGCGGTTATTTTTGACGAAATGCCCAAGACAGAATCCGAAACCTCGGGCATCAAACCTTTTGTTCCAGCGATCGCATCGACTTCTGAACCACGCCATTCTTATTGAAATGTTTTATATAATTCTACGTATGGAGCCTTCATAAGGAGTCATCGCTCAGCCTTTCTCTTTGATTCCACTTCCTAGTGGCTACTCGAACACCAGTAGTCGAAAAGTAGCATTTAATGATGCAGCTTAGTGTAAGCGTCCTACTTCTCAGATAAGTTTTAAAGTAATCGGGAAGGCACTGATAGGAAATATTTGTATGGTGTCCTCAAGAATTCGAGAACACATTGGTAAAAATTGTTTTTGTGGTGGCCTCAGGAATTAAATAAAATTATTTATGCTCATTATATGTAGTAATAATTTGGCTGAGATATTGAGAGTGTGATTGTCGTCTTTCAGTAAAGTCCCTTCCAAACACAGTAGGTAAGATACAGTCTTACTATCACAACCAATTTTATGACATTTTTCAGTATTATAGGACAGCAACTCTCTGGCAGAGCGGAAAAGTCGTTTCTATTCAAAACAGCACCGTGTTGAAATGCATATCGCAGTTCAACTGCCAGATGCGGCGACGTCTCTCGATGTAGATCCAAGAGCGATGATATGCATAAGACTTAGTTTATTGTGAGACAGACCCTCTCAGGATGTTGTAGACAAGCACGGGTTGTATCTTCAATCGGTTTCACTGGAATTATACAGGTGTTTATAGATAGTTGTGATCTTTTGCTTTTCTTCCTAACCCTTTGTTATAGCTTTTCAAGACATCTTTTATGACGACATTGCAAACTTAAGAATGTTAACATAACTTCCAGAGTTACATATATGTGCAAAATGATCGATTATACTGACATCACATACTTAAACCGTTTCGAATTGTCACCTTCAGCTATATTTACACCGGCGAATACACCAATGACTTCGTGTACGATTCCTGCGAACTACATGTCTCCGATGGCAGCTACGAGGTCGGTCCAATAACCATACAGTTTCGAATTCGGCAGACACACGGACGACCCAATGGTCCCTCCGTCTACTCCCAGTCCCATTTCCTAGACAAAAACTATCAGGAGGACAGACCCTTGTCGGATGACGCATTCAGCCAGACACCTAGCTGGACCTTCGACGAAGGTAATGGATGACTAATTTTAAATTATCAGTGTGAATAATCCGATCCACTATACACTATTATGCAAAAGAAGTCCTGCACTATACGTTCCAGAACGTTATCAAGACAGTGTTTAGGTGACAAACATTTTAGTAGTTTATTTCCCAGTCGTAGCATTGAAAATGTGTCATATGTGATCGATATGTCAACTTCTCGCAACATCGCAATCCTCTAAAGATGTTAGTTTTGATTAAAAGCCTTATAGATCTGCCCTCGTGAGACTGATTTAACATACATTTCTGACATGAATATCGTGTGTGGTTGGGGTCTGCAAATGCTAACCCATGAAACGTGGCCAACGCGAATGGTGGTAATAGGGTTAATACAGTTTCCTTAGGACGCAGGTCCCTAGTCGAAGCCCAACCATAACTCTAACTCTAATCCTAACATGAGCCTTACCCGAGGAGGAAGGTAACTGAAAAACGCCTACTTAAGTAAATATAGTAGCGAGACATGTACATTAAATTCACACGACTACATGTGAAATCAATAACAAATGTATCATCAATAATTTGTAACGGAGTTGAAAATAAAAGAGCTTCCTTAAGAGGTTTGTAAACAAAACCATGCTGTCGATGATAAACGGTTACCTTTGAGCATATAGTTAATAACTAGCAGTGGTTGTAAGTGAGGTTTTTTGAGCGCAGGACCGATTATGGTTTAATCTCTCTGACTGCTGCTCATATCAAGAGCATCGAGGACGACAAGTAAATAATGTTTGTAAATATCTTCTGCAATGTTTAGTGATTCGCAATTGTTCTGCAAGAATAAAAGTTGCTTGGTGCGTACTACTGGTAAATTGCCCTTGTAACCAACATATTTTAAATTAAATATAAATTTTAAACGCTAAAATGTTATCTAGAACGCTGTTCTCTAGGTAAGTAAGCCGCGTTTGACTTCAGTTTAGTTAATACAGATAAGAAGATCGCATTTTCATTCCCTAAGACTTTCCAACAATATCGTATTACAGGACACTTATTACGTATATAACACCGTAAAGACAAAAACGAGCAGAAACAAACATTATCGGCGTTATTTTCCAAACATTGCTCTGCAGAACACAGAAATGGGAACCTCCTCGCCCTATTCCGGGATCCGAGCGTTAATGTTTACGGGTTAGTATCAAGGCCGGAGTTGAGTTGACGGTTACGGTTACGGTTATTGTTAGGGTTCAGATTAGATCACGGAATTATTTTCACTTTTTGCAGATAAGCCCAGAGTCACTGTATTACCAAGTTGTTCACATTTCTGCTGTCATAATTGGGTCAACTTGGTTCAGTCTTGTTAAATAGAAGCTTCTGTTACGCATCGCGGCCGCAATGGAATAATCGCATCAATAGCGTTTGAGATATATTTGCCAATACTGCAAGTATCGATCACACATTTTAACCGCGACAGACTTCTAACTATAAACACCTTTTCAATGAATGCTCACTCAGTAATTCTAAACCAACAAAAACGTTGGGTCTCCTGGTTACTGGTATTGTTGACTGTGTGCTCTTATAAATTTGAAAGGGAGTTTTCACCGAGATGGTTTCAGAGTGGAATGCGGTCGTTCTCCTCTCCAGATGTTTCCTTTCCATGAACAGAGAACCGTAACCTTTATCAATTCCCTTGCCTGCTGAAAAATCTACCATGGCTCTGCCCTCTTCCTACGCGTCAGTGATCCGGTTATCACCGCCTGTTCTATTGCGCCAACGGGTCTAGTGTGATAATCTCAATTTCGTCGTTGTTTTCATTGCGGCTGACGGCGGTTTAGTGTCAATAACTTGAACATTGAATGAGTAACACTCGAATTTTTCCGACGAACTTCTTGTTTCATCATAATATGCACTCAGAATTTTGTCAAAATGGGTATTGAAAGAAACTTAATTCTAAAAAACCATGTCCCTTGGGAACACCATAAGGCTTATTGTGTAATTTTTCGAAACTAGTTCGCCAGTTCGTTAGACAAATGAACAGTATATAAAAAACGGTTACCTTTAACCATGTCCAACACTAGATTTTGTTGTTGGCTGATGTATATCTTAAAATCGCGTTGATCGATCAAATTACGGACGTGACCGCGCGATAAGACTAGTGACTCAATCTAAAGCCCTACCTGGCGTTAGTGGTCGACGGCTAGTAAAGTCAGAAATGGTCATTCCGATCTCCTTTGTTTTTGAACGTAAAGCCTATTTCAACCTTTTCTCACTTTCGAAGATTTTTGCTCAAATCAGATTTGAACTTACCAGCTAGGTCGTCGCCGCCGGAATCAAAAAAAGTTAATCAAAATATGGCCAAACACAGCGATGCGCCATGTGAACCCAAATACAACCACTCAGTAAATTCGGGAAGTCAAGTTAGGCGAACGAAAGTTTTCGATTAGTCATCATCAGGCAAATACAATAATATAGGCGAGGGTAGAGTGAACAAAAGTTTAAGCAACCAATTAGTAGCAAGCTAAGGGGAGAGGTGTTCAGAGATCAAAGGGTCAGCTTCTACTCATAATTTTGGAACAGAGAGGGGGGGAGAGATCCAACAATTAATTCGTGTGGCCCCGTAGCCACTGTCTCGCGTCGTGTTGGAAGGTGTCAGGACGCATGCTGCGAAGTTCCCGCGATCGATAGGTGGCATGGGGATGCATGCTGTCGTTGTCTTGTCACCGTTTCGTGGTGTGGAAGAAAGCGTGCGGACGCATGTTGAGTTGGTCCTTGGCCAAGGGTGCCTCAGTGCGGGTACAAACGCCTTCTGCGCGCATAAAATCGTGCAAATTAACCATTAGACTACTGTTTCTGCTGTCGCATTTATTCGCTGACGCAGACACTTGAAGTGTTTCGTCGGCACCTTTTAAATGTCTCGAAACGCTTGGTTGACGCCTACCCAGTGGCCGCTGTCAACCAAGTGAACCAAATTCGCGCTAGATAGGGACTTTACCACCTCTCAGTTTAGTCATGCAGGATCGTGCTCTCGCCTAGTTGTTCGACCAATATAACCTGCCCTGTAGGAGCAAGTAAAGTCGTAGATACATATTGAATAGGTCTGCAATGGGAGTCTATCCCTGTCATCAAGACGAAGAAGTAGAGTGCTTGAAAAGATGATGCCGAATACGTGTGCGCGATTGCAGCATTCAAGCGAAGATGTAGAAGCTCGCTTGCTGGATCCCCTCGAAAACGCAATGCGAGCAATAAGGCTTTCTTCTCAGCCGTATGCACTTCCGATTCTGGGGGACGTACCTCTATAAATTTATTAACAAACTTTCTGGGACCCCTTTCCCCTTTCTGGTCCCCAATTATGACTTGAAGCTGACCCTTTCATCCCTGAACACCTCTCCCCCCTTAATTACTACTGATTGATTGCTTTAACTATTGATCACTCTGCCCTCCATCATATTATTGAATTTGCCTGATGATGACTAATCGAAAACGTTCGTTCGCCTTCCCGAATGCTTATGTGGGTATCATCACTGAACTTAAACAAGACAGGAAATTGTATTGAATAAATAAAATTTCATATCCGCAAATATGGCTTGTGTATTTCTGATAATGAGGGAGGTCGCTTACTTCGGAAAATTTTCAGGTGCATCTGTTGCATTTTTTTATAGTAAGACGTGAATATCAGCAATTACTTCGTCAAGAATAATTTTCGAACATGTGTTAATAAGCTCCGGTGCGGTTCAGCGCCATCGAAAACGCATCCCACCCAACCGCATAAGGCATCCCGAACATTGCCACTCAGGTTTGGACAAGTTAAGCGATTAATTTCGTCATTCAGAAACGTGATGCCTGCAGCAATTGCCTACGACACTATTGAATGTTCAGAATCAAATAACCTGGCGTCTTCCCCGTTCTACTTTTATTGTAAACGGCTGTAGCCGATTTAGTCTTTTCGCAGCGTACCAGAAACATTTGCTGGTAAGAGTGACTTGTATTTGAGAAGAAGACGACTCGATCGCTGGAACAATGCGTTTATTCGTCTGATGTTTCGACATCCGTCGCGGATTCATCATCAGAGCCATCGGCAGAAAACAATAGCCGAAACGGGTTCCTTTTTTGCTATTGTTTTCTGCTAATGTCTCTGATGATGAATCCGCGACGGATGCGTCAGGCGAATAAACGTATTGTCCCAGCGATCGAGTCGTCTTCTTCTCAATTACTTCCTGGGACTTGCATGTTCGCTTGTAGTGACTTGTATGGCCGCCTAAACAGAACACAGGAGTAGGAAAGTGATGAAGGGTATACCTTCCCATACTTTTTCTCTAAAATAAAAATTCGCCTTGTCCAATCTGTAATCTTAATCTTAACCCTAATCCTCTAAATCTGTCCTTAATCTCAAACTTAATTTTCTTGGAATTGAACGCAAAAGCCGCATGTATTATGGACGGCTCTTATTGCCGCATCATATTAAGGCGTGTCACCCCTAATCCTTTATTTTACAGAACCAAGCGATTATCTGTTATGACGCCCGTTTATTTTTAAACACAAACAATTTC